ACTGGGATTTGTCCCGGTGTCCCGCCAGGCCAGTTCGCCCGGGCGCGCCCCTGCCTATAACCCAAGAAAATATCTATATAAATATTTTGTTTTAATTTAAATGTTTAAATCTAACATAATATTTTACTTATTTTACTTAAGTTATAAACCTAAAAATTTAAGTAATCAATTTTCTAATTGACAAATACGCAGATTATTGATGGTTGAGATTTTTATATTTCCTCGATATTTTCTTAATAATTTTTATAAAAAAAAATTAAATTAATTTTTCTAATTTACTTAATTATATCTACATCAACATTACGTTCCTAGTATTGTATACTAGAACATAATTTAAAATGTTAAATGCCAATGTATTAATATTATATTTTTGTATTGGTTATTGGAGTCTTTATTTAAATTATTATTAATTAAAAATATTTTTAAGGAAATATTTTGTTCCGAACCCGTTTATTGAAGAAACTCAATCGTTTAATTAACTATTCATAATCATTTAAATTATCCAACACTACCTAAATCAATAATAATTATACATTCGCTTGCAGTTCAGTTTTAATATATAAAAAAACTTAACTGGTCATTTAGATGTATACGAATTCCGATGATTAAAATACGTTATTTAATGAGTTTTTAATGATTTCTAGAGTATAAAATTCCACTCGTCCTTTGTTCTTGAACACCAGTGAAACTTAAATATGAAGAGAACAAAGTAAAAAACAATGCAATAAAAAAATATGTATACGCATTTATATAAATTATTGTTAACATTACGTGTAACATGTATATATATATGATGTGATGCCAAGTCGTAGGAAATAATCACTAACCGTTTTTGGTAACGCTTTAGGTCATTCGTTTGTGGAAAATAATTTTTATTTCCAAAAATCTATATACTGAACGATGCACAATAGAACATAGGTGTTAAGCACGTGTTAGTCGTGGTTACGCATATGTATTTGTTTCGCACGTGTTACTGGCGTCTTGGCAACTGCGTTTGATAATAATTATTGCGCTCAGTTGTTGGCAAGGTTGTTACGGCAATACCAGTGTCTGTTTTTCTTCCTTGTTTCGTTTCGTTACTTGTTGAATCATAATTGAATTATATTATTATTTATCATTATCGTTAATATCATGTTTAAAAATGTATGTATATCAAAATTTAACGCTAATCCTCAAGATTGATAATGATACATAAGTCATGGGAATTATTCGTGATTTTTAAATTTAAATACTAATAATTAATTCGTATTGATGGCTATTTAGTTGTGATCGTTAATATTTTTAATAAACTATTATCTAGAGTTAGATGTGATACTAGATGATTATTAGTGAACTACAATATATTAGGCTGCGCTTACATTGAGAACGTATTTAATCCGATTGTCAGTCCACATGGAGTCGGATTGGAAACAAATCCCTATACAAAAGCAAGGTCACATGAGCCGACACGTTATGATCTGTTCCGACCTTTAGTGAAAAATCAAATAATTTTTTTTTTTTAACTGCCGACGTCTTACGATACCCGTGCATTTATTTGTACACTGTATGTCAGTATTCAGTACAGAGTATCTACTAAATCGTTAATTTTGTAGTATATATTTGAACTGATGAGAGAAAATCCTGCAAAGCATTGACAGTTTTTCCACTGATGATACAACCCCCCGACAGTTGCTCTGTTTCCTAATATCTTAAAATATTTCCAATATACAAGTATAGTTAATCATATCCATATTCATCCAGGATCTGTTTTTATTCAAATGACCTTTTTTGCTTAAATTCAAAAAGAAAGATTAGTTTTTCGCCGAAAAAAGTTACTCTTTATTACAACTATAGGTGATTGATAAAAATCTATTTTATGGTTATTTCTTACCAAGATAATCCTTTTTTAACATTTTGAAAATGTTATTATAATTTTTGTAATTTTTCTTTTGCTACATATTTTATTATGTAAATAAACAGAACCTTTTATGAAAAAGCAAAATCAAAATTATTCTTATAGATAATAATATAACTTAACCTAATAATTAATGTGCAATATGTGTATTTACATTTTTAATTAAAATACAATTTCAATGATTGTTTTAATTGCTTGTATTTTACTTAAACATATTATAACATTATAAATTCAATATTATATATAATTATTGTTTTCAGGGTTATATAATTATTTTTGTCGATTTAGATTAATATAGATTGTTTAACCATGATGTAATAAATAATATTTTATGCTATGCTATGAAATTGTAATTTAATTTCTATATCATGTTATAAATTATAATTTTTTTTTCTATTGTATGTTAAATAATGTGTTATAATGTATTAAGTTGTGTACAATTTATATTAGCTGTTTTAAAACAGGGAATATAATAAATTCTTCAGAGTTAAATCTAAATTAAAATGTATTTAAGGTAATAATCTATTTTCTTGTATATAGTATTTTACTATATCAAATTTAAGAGATTTTGAAATGTTATTTATAATTTGAAAATAATAATTTATATTATTTATGTGTTCTGCTAAAAATATTTGTACTACTATGTATATATATATATATATATATCCTATTTTGAAACTCGTATAATTATAAAGATATTGTTATTTTATTATTTCTAAACTTTTATTTCTTTTCTTAAGGGGGCTTTGATATATAGAGCTACAGCTTCCCTTGCTTGTTGTATAGTATGTCAGGGATCAGCTGAAATAACTCATGTTCAGAACAATTGATGGCCCTTTCCAAAAAACAAAACCACCAGTGATTCTGTATTGACCAATGAATATACATTTGAACACAGTCACCTAATACAGTTCAGCCACAACATCTCTTAATAATATAACATATTATATTGTGTATATACTCAAAATTAAAATGTATTTATTGGTTTTATATGAATTTTAGTATCACTTTGAATATTTATTTAAATATTTTTAATAAGTACCTACTCTAAGTGTTTTATATTAAAAAAAATATATAGACTAATAATTATTTTAATAATTCTTCTATTTGATGAAATGCATAGAATATATACTTATAATAGTTTAAAGCTTTCTATGGCAGCAGCTAGGAAGTGAAAGGTGAACCATGTAAATTGGTATAATGACAATAGACTGTAATTCACAGCTCTGTAGATACAAACAACTCTGCGTATGTCTATAGATGGTTCAATACCAAGGTTAATATTTTTCAAACCAATATAATCTATAAGAGCATTTATGTTTATTTTACCATATTATTGCGAAATTAATCAATGAAAGTTAATTGAGAAATCAATTCATAGTTTTTTATTAAATTGTACATAGCAATTGGTTTTAATTGTACGACTTTGTTTTTAAAAATCAGTTTGAAATAATACATGTAATGTCTTATTGAAAATATCAAATAAAAAATTTAAATATGTTTTTAATAGACGGAAAATTAATTTTGGAAAATTAGTAAATTTGAAATATTTTAGTATTTATTGTTGTTTATAGATCTAATTTTAAATGTATAACTTTTAGAATTTATACTATAAAGTCTATGATGTAACTAAGCTATTTATTAATACTTTTTTTTAATGCTATAAAAAAAATGTTCCTTTCTTAATTGCAATTTTACATCAATGAGTATCATTTGTACAAATGTATTAATACTCATAAAAAATGTATTTTATTAAATGTATTTAAAAACATATTTTTTTTAAACAGTATTATTGTTTAATTATTTAGTTTCATTTAAATTCAATAGTATTCTATTGAATATTACATATATATATATCACATATTAGCATTTGTTTTATATTACTTAATTTATTTAGTTATATTTACTATTTTTATAAGGTAGTTATAATAAAATCCATGAGTACATATTTTAATGTTGAAATGTTAAATTATTTCAATATGGCGTTAATTTATAAGTTATTTCAAGGTTAGCATATCCTTGTTGATATGGTTAAAAAAAATCGCTGTAAACATAATTTTACATATTTATACATGATATAAATTGAGAATATAGGAATAAAATATCACTTTCATCATATAACCCTAATAGGTTTAATTTTATATTTTTTTAAATATATGAAATCAATTAATACAGATAGATACATACTAATCTAAAACCGTTACACATTTTGAATTATGTTAAATCTAATGTATACATTAATATTGCTTTACTTTATCGTACATTAACCTTAAACTTTTCTCATTGCTCAATGCATTTCCATGTTAAATACACAACGTTGAACTAACTATATATAGCTAATCTATCTAATACCTAATAAGTTATTTAATTAAACACTTATGTATAATATATAGTGTGAACTATCAAGTTTTTTCGTAAAACTAACGTAACATGGTTGTCCTACTGCATATATACGAGTGTGTATGCCTTTAACTAGTAAATTACTACTTATAAACTATATTGTTTTATATTTTTTATATTTGTATACTAAGAAAACTTAATAAAAACTTAGGTATCGTCTTTAAACTGTCAATAATACGAATGTGTAATAAGTTATAAGAAAAGTAGGATAACCGAGTTCAAGTCGTGTGTTCACTACGAACGTGTTTATCACAATTATCCACCTATTTTCTACTGTTTTAAAAAAAGAAATGTGTTCTTTGTCTTTCTTGGCTATTCAACATGTTCAATTATCGTCTTAAACTTGTTTTTTTTCGATTAAATGTATTATACGATTTTTTCATCGAATTCATCTCGGTAATTTATTTGGATTATCCTTGAACCGTTTAAAAATAACCACAATGCTCCATGTATGGAAGTATTTATTTACCATCGACGGAGAATCTAGTTGTGTTGTAGGCAACCATTCCCTTGACCCTTCCTTATAAGCCATAGTAGGTATAGCACTAACGTGACTGAACTCAGCTTCCTGATGGTGACGACAACTAGTGTTCGCCAATTTTTGGGTATAAAAGTCTAATAATGTCATATTCGATCACACAGAATATACTATTCTTTACCGTATTGTACGACCTTAATATTAATATGGATATATGTCTATTTGCAGTTGCTGTTGGAAGGCAGATCAGCAATGGAAAATGCCATATTGTTGAAAACCACGACAAATGGCGCTACGGCATTGCTGATGGCCTGCAGACACGGCCACTACGATATAGCTGTATACTTGATCAAAAAACATAAAGTCAATATAGAACAAATAGGCTCAGGTAATAATAACTAGCCCAGCATTAAACATATGATATGTGATTCATATATATGTGCGTATGTGTGTGTGTATATATATATATCAGATGTTTTCTTAAATATCATCAAACTAATGTTCGATGTACTATCAGATCTAATATTTTGTAAATTGTTTACAATTAAAAATATATACTAAATCGCAATGTAGTTATATATATATTTTTTACTAACCACTTTAAGTTATACGTTAAAAACGTTTATTAACGTAGGTATTTTCTTTTAAAATTAAACATTTAAACGTTTTTCCTTTTCCAAAGGTAACCCACACAATTACATTGTAATGGCTGTTTTTATTATAACACAATAATACAATAAAAAGTATAAGTATTTCGTTTAGGCGTGTCTATTTTGTTTTCTCTTGCCTCTGAGAACGCAGTTTATAATAAAAGTAGGTTTTAATAATTTGTATGTTGTCGTAAAACAGCAGTAAGTATATTTGTGCACGAAATGTTCGACTTGCTTCATCAGCCGTAAAGCATTTAAAAGCAAACTTGATAGGCACAAGTACTTTCTAATTCTCTTTGTTCACAATTTAAATTATTTAAAAAATAAAAAATATTTTAATGTAACTGCTGACAGGTAAGTTTATTATTTTGTGTTCGGAACATAACTTTATATTTTATGCATCAGAAAAACACTAAGGTATTTTGTACACAGCGAAAACAAAACGATTTTTTATTTTCAGCAGGTTTATCTAAATACTTGGAAATATATTTTTGCTGATTATTCTCAGATTTGTTTTTTGATAAAATGTTATGTTATATATATATATATATTAATGTGATTATACAAATTGTGAGATAACGAAGGCTTTAGTTTTAACTTGAATCTTACGTCGTTAATTTTACACGAAAAGTTGTTATTACGTTTTTGTTTAATACCATAAATCAATTAATTATTAATTATTCATTATAATATGTATTTCGAAACATTAGTTAAGCTTCATTTTGACTTATTTTTAAATTGTTATTTATTATTATTAATAGTTTAATAGCTTTGAACCTATAGCAGTAACGGCCATCAGACTAATCAGATTGTCGAAGTTTTAAAATGTGTTCGGAATAATATCAACTGTAAAGTGCTTAAGTCTTACTAGTAAATGTATCAATGTATTTAATAATTGTTTTCTTATTATTACACTATTTTAAACATTGGAATCAAATTAGATTATAATTATAAATGTAACACATACCGTTTATTATTCATCTTGTAAATGACTAAAATGCCAAAAATAATTTGGTAGATATTTTTTTCTTTTTAAATTCATTACTCCTATGTCCTCCTGAATAAAATTTACTAAAATATCTCTCTAGTATAATTTTTTTCCCATTAATTACATCATTAAATACATTTAATTTAAAATCAGAATATTAAACCATAACCATTTTAATTCAATACTAGTTTACTGTATTAGTAGTTTATATTACAACTATTACATTTTTTTTCTTTCATTTACCTTCTTATAATTGCATATGTTGTTTTTAATATATTTTTATAATAATTTACTACATAATAGTTTTGAATATAATAATAATTATAGTTATTATTATTATTATTATTTAAAGTCATGCAACCATAGGCGTGCACAGACTTCAACTTCCGGTCGAGCCTGAATACAATTAGTGTCCCAATACTTAGACAGTACCCCTAATTTTTTTTCTAACACTTCAACATGTAGATTCTATTGTAAATTAAAAACAGTGTAGTATTTATATCTATACATAAAATCAAGTATTATATTGCTCATTTTTAAACATATGTCTTTGAAGTTAAAAGTAAAACTTTAATTTCTTTAAAAACAAATGATATATGTACAATTAATTGATTTTCACGAAAATATTAAAATATATATCGAAATTTTACTAAGCCCCCAAAAAAAATCCGGTCAAGCAGTGGCGTACACATTTTTTTTTTTTGGGGGGGGGGGAGGGCATAAATTAATTGCACAATTTTTTATGGTTATAATATAATCTGAAACTTTATTATAAATTACAACTAAATACTTAAAACACACTCAAAACACTGATCACTTGATATATATATATATAAAATATATAATATATATAATAACCACATTATAAAATAGTGATTATACGTGACCATCACTCCTAATCCCAATTCGGTCGAATATTGATATTTTATATTACATTGATAAGTGATATCAAACACGATTATAATCAGTAAAAATTAAAAATATTTATAATTTACATTATTTAAGCTGAACAATTAATTTGCATTATGGCATCAAAAAACTTCTCGGGGGAGGGGGGCAAATGCCCCTGTTGCCCCCCACACACACACACACACAGGTATACCACTGTGTTCAAGCCGGGGCTCGCCCCTTGCGCACGCCTATGTGTGCGACCATTTTTACCATGAACCTAATTATATAGGTAATGTTATTTTATTTAGCCTTCTAAAAATAAGATTATATGTTTCTAGTTTTTCGAAATACTTAGTTCAAATAGTTAAATTTTGACTGATACTATACTTACATATAAATGTATTTACATTAATATATTAAAAGTTTTAACAAATATTTATTGTTGGTATTATAGTGTTTTTTTTCGGTGACTTAATATATTTTATTTTGTGTTATTTTATAATTCTTACGTATATTTATACATATTACATATATTTATCTGTTATCTGAAAACATTTTTATTCTTATTATATTTAGGTTTTTTTACTTTTGTCAATAATATTACAGTAATACAGTTACAAATATTACAAATACTAAAGGTTTATTTTGTCAAATTCTATAATCTTAAGTGGTTATCATTGCTATGTTTTTGTTTTACTGAAAAAAAAAATTGTTTATTCTTATTAGAAAATTTAGTAATAAAAATTGAAAAATATGGAATTATTTTACTATACTAAAATAAAACTTTAACAGTTGTAATCAGTTTTAAAATCATACTACATCATATTATTAAATCTTGTTATCTTATACAAAGCCTTAAATATTTGAATGAAAACCAATTAAGTATATAATAATTTTATTAAAAAAACGAGTATTTAAACTTTTTATATTTTTCATTATGTATAAAAATACACCCCCTTTGACAATTCCATTGTAATGTACATCTTTGTCAGCTCGATGATATTAATACGTGTGTCATGCGATGACCATGCGAATCTATTGACTAGAGTCTAGTTAACTAGACAAATCGAACAAATATTAAACTGAATTGTAAAATAAACGTGTTTCCGCACGTTGTTGTTTAATCATTTTATTATTTTATACCTTGTATTTCATTATTATTGAAATTTTTTCTCGCAGTTGTTTTTGACGGTGAAACAATAGAAGGAACGCCACCACTATGGTGTGCGGCCGCTGCTGGACACCTGAACATAGTCAAATTATTAGTCAAAGAAGGTGCCGTGGTCAACTCGACAACCAAAACAAATTCAACGCCTCTACGAGCCGCTTGTTTTGATGGACACTACGAAGTAGTCAAATATCTAGTCGAGCACGGTGCAGGTATGTCTTTGTTGCTGTTTTAATTTTAATACCATTGCATGAGTATGTCATTGAGAACCTGTGGTATAATTTTACGCGCTCGACGTAGAACTACTAACCAAAGGACCGTGTTAGCGCTCAGCTTTATTTACGAATCTTGGTCGGGCAAGACTACCGCTTGCGTGGGACTCCCGTGTCGTCTATGGACCACCAGCACCAGCCTGGGCCGTACTCGTTTGGAACCCTTTGACCCGTCGAGTTCCCCCTGGGTTAGGGTTTTGTTACTATCTAGCGCCGGTCCCACAGCCACCACTTTGCAGCTGAGGTAGGCACCTTAACCTTAAAGGGCATCACATTCGGAGCGGCAAGCCGATCCGACGTGTAATAGGGCTTCCCTCTCCCGTGGTACCATTTAGGTTTTAAGTTAATATTGGTAGATCAAATCGACACTGCGTGAGTGTGTCAGTTAGTATTGAGGTAAAAATATAAACCAATCGTATGGAGGTACTTAAAAAGATTGTAGAGACATTTTTAATCTTATATATAATTGCCAAGAATTGAGTCAAACCTTTTAATATGGTTAAATTTTAACTCAATATATTCTATCCTCTTGTACCATGTTGCTAATATCAGTTTTGGGGAAATTATTACCAATCCTAACAAATTTCTACACTTAATACAACTTTTACATCAAATTAAATCTTACTGCCTTAGTTATTAACTTGTTCTCCTTTTTCAGAAATTGAAAATTTGAAAAGAAAAAAAAAATAACATGCTGAAGTTAAATCTGAGAGGGAGGTTTGGGTATAAAAAATATATATTTTAGAAACTTATGAAATTATAAATTGCATATATAAGTGTCTATATGCAGGAATAAGTATAATGCCATCTTTAAGTAGTGATGGTGAAATCGTCGGCAACAATATGTTACATCGTCGAGTTTTGATCATCATCCATATAATTGCTACTCAAAAATAGATAATAATCGCTTTGTTTTGGGCAAAAAGTGTATTTCATTGCCTGGACAAATAATTATAGTAATTTGACAATTAATGTTGAACCAGAGTTGTGGGACACTTAAACGATATGCGCTCTACAGGTGTAAATGTTAATTGAGAATATTCAATATCTTTGCATAGAGACCTGCAATTTCAATTCTGTTTTAGTTTTAGTTAGATTTTTAACTTAAATAGGCGCGTACACAGTACAACTTTTTTTTTCTTAAATGGCAACCACCTATTTTATCCACTAATTATTTTTCGTCTAATTTTTTAATGAAAGTTGATTAGGCTACCAAAATTAATTTAAAAAATTAGACGAAAAATATTTAGTCGTGAAAATAGATGGTTGCCATTTCAGAAAAAAAAAGTTGTTGTTATAAAAACTAACTAAAAAAAAAAACTCAAATTGCAGGTCTCTTGCAGATATTGAGTGTTCTCAGTTTGTGTTTACACATTGTATATTTTACATATCTTTACATCGTACTGTTGCAGCTATGATGACGCAGACGTTAATGTTCTCGCTTACATACCTACCACTTTTTATTCATGATGCTTTACGGCGGCTGTTGTTATTGTTCGTCGTTTCTCATTTCTTTCCCGTTTCAGATATCGAAGTATCAAACCGTCACGGTCATACGTGCCTGATGATTGCTTGCTACAAAGGTCATTACAAAATCGCTAACTACTTGTTGTCCCTGAAAGCCGATATAAACAAGAAAAGTGTGAAAGGGAACACTGCGCTGCATGATTGCGCCGAATCTGGCAATTTGGACATATTCAAAATGCTCATTCAAAATGGAGCCAAAATGGAAATCGACTCGTATGGTAAGTTTTGCCCGCCATCCTGATATTACTATAATATATATCTATATCAGGGGTTAGAACCGAAATGAAACGAACCGATTCTGGAACCCAAGAACCCTTAAAATATTGGGAACCGGAAACGAACCCGAACCCTCATTATAAAATGAAAAATATCAGATGTAGCAAAATTATTAATTATATTTTTATTCTTAAAATTTCAAAGCATAAATAAATTTCTTAGGTATAATTTTTTTAATTATTTTATTTTTAATATTATGTGCAGACAAACGGACGACTGAAGGCTAAACCAGTTAATACTCCAATTTCACCAATACGAGGGTTATCTCAGTGGGGAATTGGGCAACATATCCTATTATGTATAGTTAAAAATGTATACATATTAGTTCTTTAACATGTTCTGTTTTTAGCCAAATAAATTATTATTACTTATTATTATAGATAAAAATTTGAATTACAACATAATGAGTCATTTATTTTCATATATTATGCCATATTACCTAGTATAATGCCATTATACCCTAACCCGAACCCTTTAATAAAATAATTGAAAAACTTAAAGGTTAGGTTAGCCCGGAGATCGCGGTGGTGCAATAAAACATTTCTTTTCAATGTCAATGCCAATAGTATAATCGTCTTCTTCGCACGCCTTTTTTTTATGAATGTGTTTTTGTATATTTTATCATTTTCCCGTCTGCTTATTAATATAGGAATGACACCACTGTTGGCGGCATGCGTGACCGGTCACGTAGAAATCGTCGACTATATGGTGAAAAGCAACAATCTAGTGTCACGCAAAGAGAAGATTGAAGCACTGGAACTATTAGGCGCGACTTACATTGACAAGAAAAGAGATTTGATCGGCGGTTTTGACTTGTGGAAGCGAGCCATGGACATCCGGTTTAACGAGGACGACGAACAAGACATACCGAAACCGGACAACGCCTTGCCAATCGAAGCGTATGAGTGGGCGCAAGAAGTGAAAAACCATGAAGAACTTAACGAACTGTTATCTGAACCTGACGAGATGAGGATGCAGGTACGTGTTAAGCTATTTGTCGTTATAGTCGTTATCGTGATAGGAGAAAAAAGGCACCCTCCTCAAAATCCAGTTTCTATTTGGAACGTTGCTTAATTTCTTTTAATTTTCTTTCACAGGCCTTATTAGTGAGAGAAAGAATCTTAGGCCCCATCCATCCGGATACCAGTTACTATGTACGTTACCGAGGTGCTGTGTACGCCGATGCTGGTAAATTTACTCGATGTATATCTTTATGGAATCACGCTTTGGACATCCAAAGAAGTTCTCTCGAAACTTGCCACCAAATGACTGTTTCTTCATTCTTTTCCTTCGCCGAACTGTTCTCTTTCATGTCGGACGCATGTGCTACCAATGAAGATGACGCGTATAGACAAGTGCCAGCGTTGTTAACGTTCGAAGACGTTGTTCAAATTCTTGTCAAAGCTGTTCATGACTTATGTGATACCAAAGATATAACGTCGGCATTTGACTTATCTCCTAGATTATTGCTCATTTCCTTGGATCTCTTCAATATGGCTCTCAAGTATGCTTTTTTTCTTTATACATTATGTACTTATTTTAATTTGTTATCATATTATATGTGATAGAAATAATAACTTGCTTTTCTTATGTTCTGGCATTTAGATTGATCAGAAATGATGAACACTCACATCTGACTCATCGTCTACTCTATCGCTTAAATAAAGCCAATATCAAAGGACATCTTGGTCAAACTGCTCTTCATTTGGCAAGTGCCCGCAAAACTGCTCTACCTACATCTCGACATTCACAATCAACCAATGCTGATGAAGCTTCCATGTTGCTCAGAGCATTGCTTAAAGTAGGTGCTGACCCCAATGCACGTGATGATGAAGGAAACACGCCACTTCACTTGGTTGCTGCTGAAGATACAATCATTATCAAACTGCTATTGGGTGGTGGTGCTCACTATGATGCCGTCAATGCTGCTGGCCACACGTTTTGTGACATGCGAAAAGCCACTCCACACAACCCATTATGTCACACCTCATTGGCATGTCATGCTGCTCGCGCCATACGTAAAAACCGTATACCATTCATTGGACATATACCAGTAACGCTGTACGAATTTGTAGAGAAACACTAGTAAAATAAACATTAGAAAACGTTCATGTATATCTATGGTTTGATGTTTCTTTAATTTATTGTATGCACGAAAAAAAATTATTATTTTACCTAATAAATCGTTTATAAACTTAGGAACGACTACTTCTATATTATATGATAATTAATAAGTAAAGAACTGTTCTTTCATTTTCTATCCACCACTGCCTTGTTTCAAACGTGCAGTTCTGTAAATACCTTTTTTTTATTATTATTTGTTCTCTGTGTTAATATAATTAATTCTCTAATATAGTGTAATTTATTATAACTAATAATTATAATTAAAGTAAATAAAAATCAAGACATACCCATTGTTACACTACTAGGTACCGAAAAATAAAATGTAAAATTTTTCTGTTTAAGATAAATTTTCTTTTTATATATACAGAACATTTCAAATCTTATGTGACATTCATTTCTTTATGAAATATTAAGTTTTTGACTTGTATCAAAACGTTTTCATTTTTTTACACATTAAAAGAGCAACATTTTAAGGAGATTTAAACTATATTTACTCTATGCTTTATATAAAATATTGCATGAAAATATATATATATATATATATATAATATTGCTGTTATACTTTGCCAAATTTCTGATTGGTTACGCTTATGTTCCTTATTTAAATATTTTCTGTTGCATCAAATTTGAAATTCCCTGTATGTATATACAAATATTACTTATGTGGAAAAAATTTAATGATTTATTTAATAAAAAATACAATTATTTAAAAATATAATATATGTGTTGTGTTCAGTAGTATTTTGTAAATGGAAATCAGAAATCACTTGAAAAGTTTGTGAAAGATACTTATTGTATAATTATTGAATTACAACTCAATACCAAAGGTCAACAGCAACATTAAGGGGTAGCAACCGCTACACCCCCAATTATCTTTAAAACAAATTTTGATTTTTGTACTAGAAACAAATAACAGTAACAATAAATAATTCTAATAATTAAAATCTAATAAAATATTTTCATTTAATTTCAACTTATAACAGAAAAATATTTACATTACTGAAATTTAACTTAATTTAATTTAATGATTTACTACTACTTAAACACTTTAAGTTGCTGCAGAAAACTTAACATATTAATATAAAAATTTAAACATTATTGAATACTTTTACTTATTGTACATATATATATATAATCATAATAGAAATAATGAACTACAACTTATTTTCATTATTATATTATTAAAGTTCGGGTAAAACTAGATAAATTAATATTTTAAAAAATAAAAATTTATCATCATAAAAAAACAATAAAATAGTAAATAATTCAACATGGTTTTATACTAATTCAAATGACAGTTAATCTTCAGAATTTAGTTCAACGATGGACACCGCCTCTCCTCTAGTAATACTTTTTTTGAATACTTCAGACAAACGTTTCATTTCATCTAGTTTGGTAAATGCATCTTCACTATCTTCATCATCACTGCTTTGTTGTTCCATGATTAAATTAACTTGCGAAAATAAATCACCATGTGCATTTTCAATAGGATCTAGTTTCTCAGTACACATGGAAGGTACCTGAGATGCTATTTCCACTTCCATTGTCTCAACTTCTTTTTTTATAAAAGATGCTTTTTTCTGTATAACTGGATCAAATTTACTTCTAATTTTCTTCAAATATTTAGCACTGTTTTTGTCATTAACACTTTTGAAATGTTTTATTACTCGCATCAATTTTGGACCAAGTGTTGTTATCAATTCATTGTCATAATCAAAATTTATTTCTAGCTTAAACAAAGTATCTACCAACATAGGTGTATAAGACTGATCCTCTTCTAATAAATAATCAAAAATGTAACCAGCTAGCTCACCATGAGCATTAATAGCTGTAGATTCATTTTTGTATATTAGTCCACGAATGAGATTTATTAAAGTTGAGTTCACTTCATCTACTCTAATAAACAGACTTTTAGACAAATTATGATTTGCAATCTCTCTTAATACTGGAACATAGCACTTTGCCAATGTACTACTACTTGTTCTAATGTAAAATACATAAGTCGTAAAGAACTGCACCAGATTGCTATATAAATTGAATGTTTCGTGCGTTAAGGGTCTAAACCATATAATCAAAAGCTTAGATATTAAATTAATAGACTTGACTTTTTGAAAAGTCAGTAAGTCACAAAAACCTTTTACTAAAACTGACTTAAAACTGTTATCATCAACATCGTAATCAATACATTCAACTAGTAATGGTAACATATCCTCAATACTGAAGAAGTCTTCATAATCTTTATTTGTATCCAAATCATCATTTAGGCCCAATTTTTTAAAATCATAACATAATAATACCTCAAACATTATCTGAAACATAAGGTGTCTATTTGTAAAATGATTTGATACTTCACTGCATAAAGCAGTAGACAAAAATTCTTTAGCAGCATTAACATTGTTGTTCAACATGTATGGAGAAATAGCACGGATTGCCTCCACTCGTATGGACACCAAAGAACATTGCAAGTATCCAACCACAATGTTCTCAATAATATCTGTTAATAAGGAAAGTTCAACACCAACTTTGGTTAATTGTTGTATTCTATATACCAGATCAAAGCTCTTAAGTAAGTTATTTGTTGCCTTATTAGCTAATAACTTTTCTTCTGGCAATATATGTATGCTTTGATACTGTTTTTTAATTTTCTTCATTTGTAATTTTAACTGATTTAATTTTCTTAAATCAGGGCTATCAGTTTTTGATAATTCTTCAATAGCATTAGCTTTATACTTTAATTGTTCCTCAAATAAAATCATATTACCTAATTTTTCAATGAAAGGATAAACATCAATTGTCTTTGATTGGATTTCATTTAAGATTAGTTTAACATAATTTAAAATATCTTTACCATTTTTAAATGTAATATCCAATAATAGTGCTATGGGTTTTATCGGTTTTACTGTTGTCCGATCATCTAATATTAAATCAAAGCAAAGTTTGTTAAGACTTGTTGAACCAACATCATCTATTGTAAATTCCCTAGCCATAACCAACAACTGTGTTAGTATAAACTCTTTATCTTCTTGGTCATATTTAAAGTAATACTCTCGTATATAATCAGAAAATTTCACCAGGTCTGGTAGTAAGACATCAATATAGTCATCACCAACATGCCCTTGGTTACGTGCCAGTTCAATTTTTTTTTCAACTGTTAAATATTTGGCAACACATTTCCATAAGAAAATATTTTCAGCACATAATTTATCATAATCAATCATTCGAGTATTAGAATCCAAATAATCATTTATCAAATCTAAAATTTGACTATCATAAAAATTTTCAAAAATTATTGTCAAAGCTTTTTCACACACTAATTCATTTTCTAGTCCCAATCGTTTCAAAAATAGTAATACATTCTGATTACACTCATCTAACCATTTGTCTATTAACTGTGTTTTCACTAACTGGGCAATATAATTATTTGTATCCTCCAATCCTTTTTCCAATATTGTTTTACTTTGTTTGTGTGATAAACTTAAAAATGGATAAGTTAAAAAACGATTGTATACTTCTTTTCTTACCGAATCACTAACATCTAGTATGCTATACTTCAACATTTTATCTACAGCACTGCCAATCATAGCAACGTTATGAACAATTGCTGTCCGAACATCAGCACTAGAATTACAAGTCATATGAAATAAAAAACTCTCAATAATAGGACATTTGGGATTATCTGGCATCTGTAACCAATGTAAAGCGTGTGCTGCCTGTACTCGAATTTCTGGTTTTTTGTCTTTGAGCCGTTCTAATAACAGAGTTGTGGCTACATCAAACAACTCAACAGGTAATACTATCCCAGTTTCCAAGCTATTTAACAAGTTATTCAGAAATAGACAAATTCGCCATCTAACTAACTTCTCATTGGAAACAACAAATGTACGACATAATCGCATCATTTCCGTTAACAAACACATACCGATACGTCCATCTTTGGATGAAAGTTCACCAACTTTAATTACACCATTTGCGGCATACTTGATTATGTTGTTGATGTACGTGCAATGGAGTTGTGATTTGGTTAAAATCACACAGATGAATGCGTCCTTAAACGAAACGATAAATTGATCCCAATTCAATTTAACAAACTTTTCCTCAAGCATACGCAATAGATTAACCGTCACACCGATCTCACCGGCCTTCTCGAACAATTTGATGATCCATTTTTCGGCAGACATGATTGTATTGCTAAACCGTTACACAGACTATTTGAAAACAGCATACTCGGGATGTAAACAAAAACTATGAATATTATCTCCGCGACGAAATCAGTATGACCACAGTGCAGGTATGAAATTTCGTTTGGAACATGACAAAAAAAATGTCCTGATTCCTATCTGGCGCCAACATCGAAATTCATCCAGGAGGGTATCACTCTATAAAGCGGAATTGAAATCAACCTTAAGACACGCGACATACCAACGTCATCGAATTTCTCAATAATCTTAAAATATGGTCACACTGTATTCAACCGTTATTTCATATGAATATACCTATGCATCAAACCATCAGATAACAGATATATGATAATAAGTTAATATTGATAAAAAATTGTAACAATGATAACAATCATGGTAACATAAAATTTTTGCACTGAAATTTGAATGTTTTTAACTATCGAATAATAGTATAATTATAATTAATTTGCAAAGAACTAATAACTATGAAAGATTTAAATTCCAAGGTACCTGTCTAAATATTATCGTTTATGTTTTTCTATGTTATCTTAACTTAATAAGCTAAAAAAACAATTAACTTGCACAGTGTGAATTTTAGTCATAATATGTATATTAACATATAGATTCCTCATCACAGCTCATTAGTTTTCAGTGTAGCAAAAACTATCGTAACTTAAGCAATGATCAAAATTTTCAATCAATTTCAACATAATGTTTTCTCTCTATGTACTATAATATAGTGCACATTCCATAGTTTAGTAGGTATATCATGAGACTTAAGTTTAAGTTGTTTAATAGATATATAACATACATGAGAACCAAAAACATTTGCCAATAAACTTTTAAGACCAAACCATTCAATGTTTATATTAGATATGAATTGTATATTTTATTTTAATATATTTTTTTTTTGTGTTCTTAATTTTTATACTAAACTGTGAATCAAATTAGTGTTAATTTATATGTTAATGTCCTTATTTCATGTGATTTACTATATCAAGCTTTATGTACCAAATCAATTTTATTTGTAAACTTGTAATTTGTATTATAATAATTTACTAATAAATGTTCTTCTGTTATTTGATTATTTCAATTAATGTCATAATTATTTATTTTACTTATTATTTCTATTCTGTATTTCTGTGTATAAAAATAAACATTGGGCGTTGTTGTTACTTAATGGATTGTGTGACAATTTAATCTGGTTGGAATGTATAAATCTAATTTGTGTATGAAACATTTAAATTTCTAAGTGTCAGCTTGGCATATATTCAATAAAAAAAAATGTTTGATCACATATATTTCAGATTTTTCAATGTACAATTTGTGACACAATATATAAGTATAAACATACTTAGGCATAACACTTGATAAACGACTGACTTGGGGTCCCCACCTAAAAGAAAAAAGAAAAGCAGCGAACAATAGACTTCATCTCCTCCGACCACTCCTCAACTCCAAAATACCACTCCAAAACAAACTTATTATATATAAGTCAATTATAAGACCAGTCTGGTCTTATGGAATAGCAATCTGGGGTCCTGCCATGCCCTCAAACATTAGGCCAATTCAGGCTTTTCAATCAATTGCACATCGGCTAATAACCAAAGCCCCATGTTACGTTTCAAACTTATCCTTACATAATGATTTAAAAATAACAACTACCATTGAACTACCAAAAAACATGTACAAACGTTTCCACCAAAATCTAAACACACATAGCAATACTCTAATATCTGACATGTCCACCATCACCTTCCCAAAAAACCCACCACGCAGACTAAAGCGTAAATGGTGTAGAGACCTATTAAATTAGTATTGGAGGTGTTACCATTGGGTTTCTTCCTCAACACGATATTCATGCTACTTTATTCTATGTAAATATATCAAATTTGCTTATTGTTATTATTGTATACAGATTGTAAATTGTCTTTCTTTAAAAAAAAAAAAAGTATAAACATACTTTAAAAAGACAATATGTGTTACAATTTGTTATCAATATTAACTTGTTATCATATATCTGATATCTAATGGTCGGATGGTTAAATGCGCCGTGACATGTCTTAAAATTTCACCCATGGTCCACACCATAAACATATAAATATTTCTTTTATATGAATATGGTCCACAACAGTAACCATATCCATACATTTTGGTAACCTTACCATCACACCAAAATTACACTGTATAGTATACTCTTTGAACTGTTGTATTTCTACTTTCATTTCTTATAAGTTTTATAGCTGTGAATACGTTTACATTAGCATTTAACGTGTAATTTTGCTTAATAAAAGTCTGAAGTAGCTGCACTATGGAAAAACTGTAAGTAACTACTATATATTTAATTTACACTTGTTTTTGTTAATTTGGAAAATAACAGTTTTTGTCCATAGTCAATGTACTTTATTATGCATAATATTTATATGTAAAATTGTTCGTTACTTGACTTTGTTTTATTCTAGTTCAGCAGTACTTATTGAAATTATAGTTACTGCTAGTTAGTGTCTCTAAAGTAGTATTTTAAGTAACTTGTTAGTAATTTGTGAGATAGATTATTCCTACATAAAATGTATTTCTCTGTATATGTAAATTCATAAATAGCAATATTTCTATAATATGTTTCAATATAAAGTAGTGAGACTTAACATTTTTTTAATTATTATTATTTTTTTATGTAGGCAATTATCTCATGAGGCACAGGTTTTTCACTGTCCATTCAATACAGCGCATACTATGCCGCACAAAACTTTGATATTGCATTTGACGAGATGCCCTGATAGACCAGCTGGTTATAAAACTTGTTCATTTAATAATTTGCATGTCATGCCAGCATGTGACATTGCGGTAATATATTCAATAATTTAACTAGATATTTGTGTAGTTTTTTATGATAATTACTTTAGTACTCGATAAACATATTTTAGGCTCATGAGGTAAATTGTCCAGATCGATCAATACTTGATGAGCTTTTGTATGAGTCGGAAAATGTTCAGCGTCCAGTTACTGTTATAAGTAGAGCACCAACTGTAGTGATAGATGAGTCATGGGATGAAGTAAGTATTTACATTTATAAGGAAAGTAATTTTTAAAATGTTAGTTTTCTTATCTAATTTCACCATTTCTGTATTACATATTTTATATATATATAATGACTTAATTGCATTTCTAAGAAAAAATATTTAATTCTTAATATTATACTATAATTAGTAGATATTTTCAACATTTGTATAGACTTCCTTTACTTTACGTTTTTAACAATTCAAAACCAAACAAAATTATCTTTAAAAAAAGAGCCTACACTTTACATTGGTATAAGCATTTTAAAGTATTAGTTAACAAAGTAAATTGATTGATTCATTATTGTTTTTAAAAGTAAGAGGCAGTGGAGCATTTATTAAAGAATAATGTTATTGTATATCACAAAGACTTTGTGACATTAGTTATTTTATTACAAACCTTAAGAAATAATGACCCTAGGATAATGTGATACTGTAGCTTGTAAAAATACTAAATTGTAGAAAATCTAATATATATTTAGTCATAAAACAATATTTGAAACTAAATTTTAATAATTTTTATGTTCATAAATTTTAGACTCTTAAACTTAAACTTAATTAGTATTACACATTTTACTTATAGTACAAATGAAAATATTCATATACACTTATATATACATTTTATAATATAAACAAGTTTTTATGACAAACGAATTAAATCTATTAATTGCCCATGTGTTACATTTCTAGCCAGAAGAATCTGTAAATGTGATCAAAAGTATTAATGAAAGAGCAGTGTTTATGAAACCATCATATGGTCTCACCAAATCGGAAAGGAAAAAATATCGTGCTGAAATGGGTCAAAAATATTCAAATATGGACTTATCGTACAATGCAAATTCAAGTATTATTAATGTAAGTTTAGTCTTGACATAAATACTCTAAAAAAATGTCAACAATTGTTTTAAAAATAGTTATAGCAATTTTATTCCTGAAAATTATTTTAAAAGGATAAGTAAAAGCTATAATATATACCCAGAGCAAAAATGCCCAGAACTTTAAGGCTTAATAAATGGATTCAATATTTTTTTAAATCAATCAATTCTTATTTAACTATCATAATTTTATTATTTTTCATTTACCATTGTCCTGATGCATATTTTACGTTTGTTGTAACACTTCATACAATGTTGTTGCCAAGGGTATTGTAATCACATAGATTTAAGAATTGCTGTTTTTAATAATTCAAGATATTACAATAATAAAAAATGGCATTAAATATTCTATAAGAATAATCTCAAATTTTTTGTTGTTTTCCTAAATGAAAATATTATAACTATTTTATTTTTTATTTTTATTAATTTAAATTTTGAATAAAATATTTATGCATATTTATGTTGATTATTGAATAAGATATTCTGCATAAAAATTTTAAATTTTCATATTTATTTTTGTTCTTGCTTTAGAGACAAGATTCATCTGATGTTAATAAAAAGGTATGTATTGTTTTTTATATATTGATTTATGTTAATGTATAACTATCTTACAAGGATTCACTAATTACAATTTCTGCTGTGTTAATAAATATAAGAAAATTATATTATTTTAATAATTCATGTATATGTATGTATATATATATATATATATATATATTTAAATTTTCAAATATAAAAATTATTATAAAATGTTTTGTAAAATTTTAAAAATTACATTTACATTTTTTTTTGTAAAATTTGAAGATACCTATTCTAATGATTTATTTTTCTGAAAAAGTTGACCACATTTATTACAACATTTATCTTTATAAATTCTTTCTTGATTGAACCATAAAATGTATAATATTAAAAAGTGTAATATTCATCATTCTCAATAAATAATTAATATCCTCAAAATATGACCATTTTCAAATTTTACAAATATAACTAGGTTGAATTTTAATTATTAAATTAAAATTTAATAAAATTGTTCTTTTAAATAAACTACATCATTTTTATATAGTAAAAAAAAAAATCAATTGATTCTTATTCAAGAACTAATAAAGGTGTCAATAAGGGTTAAATAATATATATTTTTAAAAGTTGAAATACTCTATTAACTATTATATATGTTACCGGAAATGTTGATATTTAGGAAAGGATGACAATTCCTAGTAGCGGAAGGAAATGATATCATTGCCTAGTATATGTTATCATTATCATTTCCTTACAATTCCAGGCAATGATGCCATATTTTTTCTTACATGTGATACCATTTTTTTTTTTTTTAATTTGATTTAATTAGACTTAAAATAATTATTTTACTATACATACATGTTAATTACTAATATTATAATAAAATAGAGTAGTTTTTTTTAACTTTTTTTTATCAATTTGATTTGTATAATTTCAGAATTTTTATATTTTACATTTTATTTTTCGTAGTTACTCAGTTTTATTTTCACATGACAAACCTCCATGACGTGTAAAATTACAAATTCTAGATGCCGATTTGCAAGCACACCTGTTTGTCTTGCATTTTGTTTTACATTGACATCGGGTATATCTTTGTGCCCCTGAAATACTATTTACAGTAGCTGCCTCCCAAAGTGATATCTGTTTTTCTACGTGACCTGCTGACTCTAAAACAGTAGTTAGATTCAATAAATTTTCCTTGCAAGGATTCATTTCCGATCTCGTGTACATATGTTTTAAAGTTCAGTGCCTATAATAAAAAAAAAAAAAATAATTATAATAAATCTCTATTATGCGTTTAAATACGGTGATGATTAATATGCTTTAAAAATACTAAATTAATTCTAATATAGCTTGTATAAATCTTCTTTAACTTCAGTTATAACCGCTAGTACATTTCTCAGCGATCCACGAGCACGGTCTACATCAGGAATGCTCAGCCGTACTGTAGTTCCAACCCTAAGTTCATCATATTTTTTAATCAATGTTTAAATCATTTTTTGAGCCTGTTTTTCTAAATTTTGCGGAGATGATTGAACGTGTATTCAGTATATTTTGTTTTCGTTGATAAACTAAATAAAAATATTATAGTTAGTAAATTATATTTAAATATATTAAACTATTACGTTTTTTTGTACAAAGTTCAAAGTCACTAGTAACCGATTCATTTTCTTCGATTTTTTTTCGTCTTCATTTGATTTTAAAATACTTTCTATGTCTTCCTCAGATTTCAAAGAGCCGATTTCATCTATTGGTAAACCAATATTTCTCATTTCATTTTGCATTTTATTGAGATCCATTTTTAACAAACGCACTGAATGTGTAAATAACAAATACGTACTGTACTAAGAACACACTACTAAAAGTGGTATACTACATGTACAGGTTAGGGACACTTTTAATAAAACACATAAAGATTGAGATAAATATATGCGATAGACATTTTCCACTCAACCATTTTATCGACGAGTGACGATTGGGGGTTTTAGTATGTCGCCGTTACGAGTTAGTTATCGTTCTAATAGTTATATTGTAAAGCCGGTCCCACATGACTTGCAGCATCACGAGTTCCAATGCTTTTGTGTAAGAAAGTAATGCGTGATAACATTGCCAAATAAACTACGGAAATGATGACAATTCCTAGGCAACGATATCATTTCCTTCCGCTACTAGGAATTGTCATCCTTTCCTAAAATGTCAACATTTCTGGTAACATATATACTTACATATTTTTATTGTTATCAATTATTAATTTGATTTATTATTACATTCTTCATAATATATGTTTAAAATTGTGATAGCAGTTTGAATTAAACGAAAAATTAATTTATTTTTTTTTTAGGCCGAAGAAAATGCAAAGAAAAAACAATTATTTTTTGGAAAAAGACCCTAAGAATGATTTTTGAATATATTTTTTTATACATTTTAATAAGATTTATAATTTTTGTTTCGTACATATAATATTTTACAACTGGTTTTGTATAATTATAACTACTTCAATAATCACTAGACAAGATTTTTTTTAACATTTTACATGTTTAAATTTTTAATATTACAAGTCTTTAATAATGTAAATGTACCAATGAATAAATATATTTACTTATAAGCAAATTGGTTTTTTTTTTTTTTGTACTTTCAAGAAGTATATTTCATAACAAAATAAAATATCCTTATTGCCTAAATATAATTATATATTATATATAAGTGTAAGTGTTAATTTATAAAAAAAATATTATATTAAAAATATAATTTAGTTAAAATTTGGGTGATCATAAAATCAAGATGAATTATAATTGTTCATCATTCATGAAGTCTTTAAAATGGGATGTATTTACTCTGTTCAATACTTATTTAATAGATAGTCAATGTGTAAAAGCTTTCAAATATTATGAAAACCTAATTGTACCTAAATAAGAACAAATATAATAAAAAATTGTAACAAATAGAACCAAAATATGTGTTGAAAAGTTGGGTTAGAAAAATGGTTTTTATTTGGACTTTCTGTGTTTCCTTAAATATTTTAAACTTTCATTTTTGAGGTAACTTGTCTTATAAGGTCTAAAAAAGTAAAAGACCACACAAAGATATTTATAAGTTTAATAAATTTAACTATTTTGGTATTAAATACTAATTTTATAAATAAGCTTAATATTTTAATATTAAATTAATATATTTTATATAAATACTAAGAAAATGTATTTTGTGCCCGGAGCCCCAAATTCTGTATTATTTTTTAAATTTATAATTCTAAAAATTATAATACTAACCAAAATAATAATACAAACCATCACTACTCTCAGCCTATAGCTATAGTTATTGAGTCTAAAAAAAAAAAAAAATTCAAGTATTAATGATCAATTTCTTATTATTACATTCTATTTTTATTTACATGGTATAAATAATAAATTTTGAGAATTTTAAATTTCATTGAATGCTTACGTTACTTTTTCTCTTTTATTCATAAAATGTCAAATAAATAATTTAGGTTTGATGAAGTCTTAAAAATGAAATATAAAATTTTTCATACAATTTCCTTATTTGTTAAGAATTCTCATAATACCTATAATAAGTTAAATATTTTTTTTTGTGGAAATTGTATATCACTATAAAAATAAAATAAACTAGATTATTGTATAAAATATTCAAAAGAAATTTAAAGTGTTTTATTAGATACACTGATGAATAACATATACACCAATTTGTCAATGTTTTTTTATTCTAATTAATGAAAATTATTAATAGGTAAATCCTACTCAAAAATTCTTTTATTCTTTCATAAACTAACAACATTTTCAGAAATAAAAATATATATTTAATAATAAGTATACAGTGTGTAATCGGTTGTTGGAAATACTCTATAACTTAACAAATATTAAAGATATTTAAATTCTGTTTGTTTGTGGTGCTTAACAAAGTTTGTTATAACTTATTCAAGTAATTAAACAATTTTTATGCCATTTCATTTCGCGCATGCGTATAACAACTTTTTTTTTTAAATGGCAACCCCACTATTTTTTGGTTAGTTATTTTTACTCTTATTTTTTCATGAATTTTAGTGGTAAAACCAACTTCCTACGTTAAAAAATAGCTGAGTTATGGATATTTCAGTGATTGATATTATTTTTTGACATTTTTGAATTATTCATCAATTTTATGGCTTAAATAGTTAATCCTTTTAGCACCGCATGATATCTTCTAGTGATATTTTTAGTACCTACTTTTGGAAAACATCCTCTTTCCCTAAAGCAACTATTTTTTTTAAGTTTATCTCAGGCGATTAAAAAAAAAAAAAAAAACAATATTAATTTATTTTATTTTTATTATTGCAAAATTACATTTATTCGTCATCTTA